CAAAGCACATTGCGCCAAAAGGTGAGCTGCGCCTGCAGCGTTTCTATCTCTAGGGACATGGCTTATGCGGATGGACCAATCTCTCTTCATCCATCTTCTTATGTGTTCTGCAACTCGGGAATCTCTAGAATATGTAGCTGAGTTGCCAATTATAGCCAAAGCTCTTGTCAAGTAACCCTCTAAGACAATCTGCGTTGCTCCTATAGGGGAAGCAGTCTCCAGGACTTTCATAATGCCCCATAATTCTGCATCTAATGGTTTACAACAGCCAAGATATGCTGAGAAACCTGTAATCCACTCCCCTTTTTCATTCCAAAGAATGCCACCACATGCAGCATGCCATGATATACCATTCAAGGCTCCATCATAGCTTAATCCAACCAGGCTCCAATTGGCAATCCAGTAATAGAAAAGGACAACAGGTGGACGACCTTAGTTCTCTCATGTTAGTTATGGTATATGTTGAGATATAGTCCCACATTGGTTGTATGTGCAACTAATGTGGAGTTTATAAGGCCTTGAGCACTCCCACCCTTTGAGCTAGATTTTGGGGTGGTGACCTCAAGGTTCTTAACATGGTATCAGAGTCTCGCCGTCCCCCACTTTCTCTTGTGGAGTTTCTTAGCACAGGTAGGCTGGGACTGTTGCATTGTCCACTCTTCAAGCCCAATGGGCTCTTGTGTGAGGGGGCGTGTTGAGAAATAGTCCCACATCATGTATATCTCTTTGTACTTCCTTTATTTTCAGTTATATAATAGACTATCCGTTGTGTAGTCAAGACACACGGATTACTCACAACCTCTCGGGTCATGATATTTAACATGGTATCCAGAGCCTAACGAGAGGAATTTTAATCTACGTCTGTCCGGTGGACCTACTGTTCATCGAGTAAAATTTTTCTTTTCGGAAGCTGTCACACCGACAGTATTCCGGCCACCGTCAGCCACCGTCCTCTGTCACCGGAAAATTTCTTCGGCAACCGTTTTTGTCAAGGCATACGTTAACAGACTCAAAAGGAGCCGAACTACGCAAAGCCAAAGGACCCACCGTCATAGGTGGCCCCACGCTCTCTGACGCGCCACTTTCTTCTCTGCGCATGGCCAACACGCACCACCTTCCTCCGGCGCGTGCGGTGTTTTCTGGCGGCCGTTCGCCGTCGATCAAGGACAGACTTGGTCGCCCAACTGTTCTCTTTCCAGATTAGCCTTCACCTCGTTCAACCGACTTCATTTGGATCCAGTTCACAGTTCGTGTCCCTTGATCGTGTTGCCTTTGTTCGTGTGCTGCTGTTTGAAGCCAGCAACAATCGTTCGTTCCTGTTCTCGGGCGAAGCGGTTCTCATTTGCTGCCATATCCAGGAGCTTGCTTGCAGTGTAGATCAACCGCTCCACATTGGTTTTGCTGCTACTATTTCAGATTTGATCATTCACCACAGTCACAACATTAGATACAGTCACTTTTTCAGTACCTATGTGCTTTTGATCCCAGTGTTCGATCTTGCTACTGTGTAACATTGAGGTTCCTTGTGACTTTGGTTCTTTATTTTACTGGTACTGTATTCTATTTTTGGACCATGGATGATTCTAGCTCATTTCCTCAATATGTTTCTCGGTCCACTATCCCTGGTTCCACGGCTACTGTTGCACATATAAGTAATACCTTTACTGGTTTCACTCAAAATTCATCCTTTGGTCATTGGGTTCTTGATTCCGGTGCCTCTGATCATATTTCTGGTAATAAGTCTTTGTTCTCTTCTCTTTCTACCTCTGGTTATTTGCCTGTTGTTACTATGGCTAATGGTTCACAAATTCAGTCTAGTGGAATTGGAACAATACATCTTTTTCCTTCTCATACTATTGATAACGTGCTTTATGTCCCCGGTTCACCCTTTAATCTCCTTTCCATTAGCCGTTTAATACATTCTCTTGATTATCTCATCTCTTTTACCAAAAATCCTGTTGTTTTACAGGACCGGAGTTCGAGGAGGACAATTGGCGGTGGATTTGAGTCAAATGGCCTTTACATGCTCTCCAACTCTTCTCATGCTCATTCGGTATTAGATTCTCCACTCACTGTTCACGCTCAGTTGGGTCATCCTAGTCTTACAAAGCTCCAAAAGATGGTGTCGCGTCTATCCAAACTGACCACTTTGCAATGTGAATCATGTCAATTCGGGAAACATACTCGTAGTTCTTTTCCTGATAAAGCCAGTCGTCATGCCTCATCTCCTTTTAGTTTGGTTCACTCTGATGTTTAGGGACCTAGTCGTACTGAGTCAACTCGGGGCTATAGATATTTTGTCACATTTATTGATGATTATTCTCGGAACACCTGGTTATTTTGACTGAAAAATCGCTCTGAGCTATTCTCAATATTTCAGAAGTTCTATCAAGAAATTCTTACTCAATTTGGTATTCCTATCTACACTCTCTGTAGTGATAATGCTCGTGAGTATCTGTCTCAGCCATTTCAATCATTCATGGCCTCTCATGGCATTCTTCACCTCACGTCGTGTGCCCACACCCCTCAACAAAATGGGGTTGCTAGCTTTTGGTGTGGTGACCTCAAGGTTCTTAACATGGTATCAGAGCCTCGTCGTCCCCCACTTTCTCTTGTGGGGTTTCTTAGCACAGGTAGGCTGGGCCTGTTGCATTGTCCACTCTTCAAGCCCAATGGGCTCTTGTGTGAGGGGGCGTGTTGAGATATAGTCCCACATTGGTTGTATGTGCAACTAATGTGGAGTTTATAAGGCCTTGAACACTCTCACCCTTTGAGCTAGCTTTTGGGGTGGTGCATCCCAAGGTTCTTTACAGTATATTTAAAATTTTTAGTTTGACTATTTTATTATGGGGAATATATTTACAATGGGTGGAATCCACTAAGGAAAAAGAGAAAAGAAAAAAAAAGTGAGTTCCACTAATTTTGTGTGTGGACATGAGACAAAATTGTCTTATGCAATATGAAAAATATATTTTTCTTTTATTATTGGCTTTATATTATGGGAAGTGTTACTCTTCAGCTGCAGAAAAGAGAAGTTATCTGATGTAGTCATATGCTTTCCAGAATACGAAACCGTATCTTAAAAAACATGTGTCAGCTGGAGATAACTTCTCTCCAACAACAACATGAGATTAATAGAACCTTTATATTAATAAGGGAGATGATTTTATGTTGTTGGAGAAAATCATCTTATATTATCCCCACATCAATTTTTTTTAAGCTTTTTCTTTTTAAAGGATGGTGGACCCGTTATGTGAATGTGTCTATGGTAGGAAACTAAAAATTTCCCGCAAGCCGATTTCACCTATTAATAACGGTCACTAATAGAAAAAAATAATTTTTCTACAACATTAGAAAATATTTTCCCATAACTTTATACATCGGTAAAACCTTCCGTCTATTAAAATAAGGGACGTGTTACTTCCTGTAAACATGTTACGTTTAGGTCTCTATAATAAAGATGCAAATTTACTAACAAATAGAAAAGCTACCCATCATAGGTTAATTTTGGGTGAAATTATATTTATTTTTTTCTCTCGATAATTCATTCTTTTTTTACCAAAATTATAAGTCTTATTGGGCTTTTATTGTTTTAAATTTTAAATTTCTGGGAAAAAGGAAATTGAGTATAGTTTTATTTTCTAATTGTTAATACACCTGAATAAACAAAATACAAGTTGATGAACACAAGTAACATAGGGATAAATTTTGCTTAGCGAAATCAAATTCAACACGCTAAACTAAGTCAAATTAAACTAAAAAAAAAAAAAAATTGAAAAAGAAAAAGAAAAGAAGCAATTATAATTTATTTTCAAAAACAAATAAACAAAGAAATTACAAAAAGTTCATATCCTCAATAAGCTATTCATTTAAAATGTATCTTGTTGTTTACCGGGAAAAAAAAAGTATCTTGGTAAGTAATTGATTACAATAGTGCAGCAATGCAATACTTTGATCAAAGACCAATAAATAAATTATTAGAACAAAGGTTGGTGTGTGCTAAATTTTAAGACTCCAGTCCTCAATTGTGCAAAGCACAATCTCTTGCTGATTTCATTTACCCATTGAGTTGATATGAAAAATGTTTTGGTTTAAACCCTAAATATTATATTCCAACATCAAATGTTTTTCATTTTTTTTTCTAACTTCTTAAAAATTTGATTTCAATCTTTTCATATTTAATATCATCAAAGTATGATGTTACTTTTGAAATTGGAATTGGAACAAGCAAGTTTTCCCCAGCAGCATTACGAAGAGAGATGGAAAGGACTCCACCCAACAAGTTTGCTGATTGAAGCTATTGCAGTTTCAAATTCATTCGAGTTTGCATTATTAGAAAGGGCCAAGACAAGGCTAACTCATAAAACTATAAAAATGTGACTTCTAAAGTTTGGATATTGAGCTTAACCTCATTTTAAGAAAAAATTTTGCATCAAATATCATTTTTTTTCTCGTTGTAATCCAGTTTTGCAAAGGTTCAATAGTAAATATACTATTTAATAAGTATTAATTTAGTTCCTATCCTTCTCAAGGTTATTTAAGATCTCTCTGTTGCTTTAAGAGCTAGTAAAATGGGTCAGCATCTCAATTATAGAAGTTAGGCAAAGACTTTCTGAATGATCAACAAAAATATTTCAAGTGAAACATCTTATAAATAATAGATACAAGTCTCAAGTTTGACGCTAAATCAAGATAAACATATCCAGTTTGAGTTCCTCTTTTCCTTCGCTAACAATCGTTAGTCTCTATATTTATCCTTTACGTCACGTTATGTTTACTACACAACTGAAACTATAATGACAAATTCCATATTCTCTATTATACCTTTTCTTTGTGCATCAAATTTTGTGCAAGTCAACAACATATTTACTTGCTCATTTGCATTGTAAACTTAATCTAAATTTTAACAGTGAACACACTGGTCAGATTTTATTTGCCTTTTTTTAAAAAAAAATCTCAAACCTTCTATAGTGCTTTTTTTTTTATATTCAAAAAGACCTTAAAAACTATAAAGAAATAAATGAAAAAGGAAAGGAAAAGAATGAAACAAAGAAAATCAAAGTATTCCTTTGCAAGCCTGTACTTATTTGTACACAACACAGGTGCAGCTACATGCATCTCTTGCTAAGTTGCTATAAATTAACACAAGATAACCCCCTCCCTCTTCCAAACTCCAAATACACTTGAACAGCCGCTGAACACTAATAGTGTGGCACTGCCTCATGTATATATACCTCATTCTTCAATCTTTGTTCATGTTTCCCAAGCAGACATACTTGATCTGGAAAAGTAATAAGGATGAACTTCAACAATGTCACACATTGTATTGCGGAATTTATCAAAAAGAAATGACAAATTGACTGAATATGTATTCAATGTAGAGGTTCACTTATTTGAACCATGGAGTATTAGAACTTCAAGAGAGAAGCCATATCCGTGTTTATCATAATACTGAAACCTCTGAACAGTACTATTAGGAAAATAAAACTAAAATTTAGCATCTGAAACTTCATTCTTAGAAATTTTCTAAACATATATAATAGTATTCAGCTGATAATATGTGATAAATGTCACCATGTATTTCTATAGAGTATAGAATACATAGTTGTCCTCTTTTGCTTGCACTGAACAAAGCAAGGTAAGGAATCTTTCTAGTTATCCACCAATACTACATATGAAATAGTTGAATGACCTTATCGCGCTGGCTTCATTTGGTAAAACATCTCAGAGGACACTAATATCATTTCATTTACCAAGTATCAACCCATTTCCATTGACCCAAAACATTGAAAACATCTTACAATGGCATCAACAATTCAACACATCCCCCTAGCTAATTGTCCACCACACTCAAAATCCTTCATAAATATACCCTCTCTCTTCTTGCCTCTTTCAACCACAACTAAAATGAGTTTTACAAACTTCAAAGGACAAAAATGAGTTCAATGAACGATTATGGACTATGAAGCTGTTTTGTTTCTAAGGTAAAGGGAAAAATTACAGAACAGAAAGCTTTAAATTTGTACTTACCTCTAAATATTCATCCATCCCATATTTGGAGCCTTCTCTTCCGAGGCCAGACTGTTTAAAACCACCAAATGGAGCCACCTACATCAACGCATATGTGTAGTTAAATCCATCAAGAAACATATCTCATTGCCACTTAATTTCACATTTAATAAGGAATGAGATGCACCTCGGTTGAAATTACTCCTTCATTAACACCCACAAGTCCATATTCAAGAGCCTCAGCAACACGCCATGATCGTTGGATACTGTTTGTAAATACGTATGAACCCAATCCTTCATATGCACAGTTAAGGTTTCATGTTCAAAAAATTCGACAATGTTGAATCAAGAATAACCAGATATGGAAGCACTTAAGAGCATAAAATAGCAGTATAGGAGGAGAGAAAAAAAACTTCATTCAAGACTGTAGGAAGAAGAACCAAATTAGTAAATAAATCTGCAAGAACTACCTGCGTTAGTGTCATTAGCAATTCTGATAGCATCCTCTTCAGTTTTGAACCTCAAAAGGGGTGCCACAGGTCCAAATGCTTCCTCTCTGGTGTAAGACAAATCATATAGGTGAATTATAAGAAACAAGGTCCACCAAAAATTAAAAACAAATTTCCATCATATAAATGTAAGGCAAGGCAAATTTCAATTCAACCATATCATGATTTCTGCAAATATAGAATATAGACAGTGTGCATTGTAAGAACCTGCACTGTTAAATTAGGAATTTAAATAATTTAATTATGAAATAAGGAAATCATTTCATAATTAACTTTGGATAAATATAGAAAGATTAGAATAATTATCGAGAAGGTCAAATAATGATTAAATCGCTTTTTTGATGAAAAATGTGAATACCGATTCTGCTTCACGGTATAAATGTGTACTGGCGAAGTATTCCGAAAAATTATAATAAAAATATAAATATTCCTAGAAAAATATCTAGATCTAGGACATCAAGTTTGGAGTAAAGATAATCAGCGGTGATGTCCGAACTAATACCGGCTATGTATAAACGCGTACCGGTAAAGTGTTGCAAAAAATTATAAGAAAAATATGTTAATTCCTAGAAAAATATCTAGGTTCAGAATATTAAGTTTAGTGGAAAAATGATTAGCGAAACTATTAGAACTAATACTATTGATTAGTGGGGACACTAATATAAATAGTCACTTACACTCAACCCTAGGTCAGTTTTCCTGATCCCAAGGTTGATTCCATGGCTGCCACCTTCTTCTTCCATGAGAGCTTGAGCCTTGTGCATGGAACTTGATCAAAAACCCACCTTTCTTCCTATTTCTCCACTTCTATACCATTGAACCACCATTAAACCTTGTAAAACTTGAGTCTTGTGAGGTAAAGGCTAGGTCTTGAGGGTTTTTAGTTTCTGCATTCAATGGGTAAAGGCTGACTTTGGTTGTTCTTAGTGTGTGAGCCTTGGAGACTCTCTAGAAAGCTCCAAGAACCAACCTTTAAGAGAAAAGAACCTACCTTGGAGTGAAATTTTCGTGCACCACCAAGTCAGTGGGTTGGAGCACCTCCAAAGTCCTCAATGCTTCACCATTTTTCTGATTTCCAATGTCCCTAGGTAACTACAAGTCATTTCCTTTGTAGTTTCTTGAAAATGAGTTAGTTTGTGAAGTTAAGTATGGAAATATTAATGATGCATGTAAAATATGGTACCATGATGTCTAAAAATGTAAGTTGAACTGTTGTTTTGATAAAAATCGGACCTTGGACCCTTGGAAGCCATGAAACCCGCGGATTATGTAGAAAATTCTGCAGTTCTCGTGTTCTGTCCGCGTGGTAATCGATTACCCTGTTCTTGGTAATCGATTACCATGTGGAGTAATCCATTACCCTGTTATTGGTAACCAATTACCGTGTTGAGTAATCAATTACCCCCCTGTATGGTAATCGATTACCCCCTGTCAGAATGATCAGAAACCAATTCTGATGCGGTGGGAAAGTCCCTATTTGGGAATGATACCCTAGGGAATCAGTATTACTGCTGAGAAATATTAATGCCAATAACAGTGAGGGTTAATATGCGATAATTATGATTTAGAAGGATGTAAACGAAAAGAAAACATTGCTCAATGGATATGAAATTTGGGAATTTTGAATATTAATTATGTTTTCATACAAAACAGATTGCAATTGTCAGATTGTGTGACTATTGGTGTGTCTGTGTATACCGAGCCATTGGATAGGGATTTTGGCAATACAAGTAAGCTTTTGTGTCCTCGGTTTTATCCGTTGCTTGTTCTACCCATAGTTGTCAATAGCGGTGAGTAGCGGCGCTAAACCGCTACAGTAGCGGGTAGCGGCGGCCGGCCGCCACAACCTGTGACGCGACGCGACGCTGGCCGGTAGAGGAGGTGGCGGCGTAGCGTAGCAGTTCTCACAGCCGAAGAAGATGAACGCTACAGGACGCTACGAGAAGGAGAAGACCTATTTTTTTTAATTTGATGCTTCAAATAAAACGGTGTCATTTTCCTTTGCATTGGGGGGTATTTTTGTCAAGAGAAAAAGTTTATTATTAAGTTATACATAAAGGACCCATTACCACCACATAACACGCGGGAAAGAAGAAAAAAAACGTGGCAGGGTGGCACCAAAGGAGAACAATGGAGTTGCAGTAGCAGCCAAGGTGTTTTTTTTTTTTTTTCGTTCCTTCCTTCTTCCACTCTTCTCCGGCAAGAGAGCTTCTATTTTCCGGTAAGTTCTCAACATTTTGTGGCTTCTTTGTTCCTTCCTCCTTCCTCCTTCCTCCTTCCACTCTTCACTCTTCATTCTTTCTTTTATCTTCACTACCCATTCTTCTTCTTTGATGGAGGCTTCTTCTTTCTTTTTCTTTTTTACTTATTTTTTGCTTATTTTTTTTTGGGTACTTCTGGTTTTATTTTTTACTTATTCTTTCTTGTATTTTTTTTTTTGGTAAACTTTCTTGTATTTTCGGTAAGGTGCCACTTATGATTTTATTTATTTTGCTTATTTTTTTTTTGGGTAGGCTACTGCAGTTTTTTTTTAATATATGATGCAGATTTTTTTTATTTTTGTATATATAAATACTGGGTATATAAAACCAGAACATATTTATATGCAGTTTTTTTATTTTTGTATATATAAATACGTTGCAGTTTTTTTTTTTTAATTTTTGGTAAACAATACGTTGCAGTTTTTAATATATATGCATTACTCATATTTATATACCCAGTATTTAACTGGTAAGCGTTACAGTTTTTAATATATATGCATCACTCAAGTTAACAAATACGTTGCAGTTTTTTTATTTTTGTATATATAAATACGTTGCAGTTTTTTTTTTAATTTTTGGTAAGCAATACGTTGCAGTTCCAGCTCACAAAGCATTCTAAAGGCTGATGTTAATATTCACATTTACAACAACAACAAAAAATTAATATGCCACGGTCCCTTCCTTCCCTTTTACGTGTTGTGCAGCTGATTAAATGCCTATGCCACTCTCCCTTACTTGTAGGTTGTGCAATGCCCACATACAAACAGCCACACAATATAATATGCAGTAAGTACACAAAACAATATGCATGACAATGACATCTATAACTAGAGCATGGGTGGACTAATAGTTGAGCATTTATATTAGTTAAGACTGTTCTGTTAATACTTCACCGTAGCGGCAATACCGCTACCCGCTATACCGCTATACCATTTTTGGGGTCGGCCGCTACCGGCCGCTAACTGCTATTGACAACTATGGTTCTACCATACCTCATGGAGGAATGGTTTATATGCATGATGTGTTTTTCTGAAATAATATCTGTTTATATGATGAATATTGAATATGCTGTTGAGCTGGATTTTACTATAGTGCAATTGCCATATGCATATGTATGTGGGGTATTCCACAAGAGACGGTAATTCCTTAGCATGTCGGGCCACATGCAAGAAGGTAACTCCGTGTGTGAGGTACAAGGTGGACTCCTTGTACTGTGGGTTGTAGACGTATATAATCCCTACCTTTTATTCTCTGACCAGTAGGATGCATACACACATGACATGGACATATGCTGCATTGCACAGATTTTGATATTATACTATTGTTACCATTTTAGAACTTATATTGCACATGTAAGTGAGCTTGGGGTGGAGAGATCCTTGAGGACCCCTTGCCTTACTGAGATTTCTCGTTTGAGATCTCACCCCATGTGGGGCACATTTTCAAGTACATGTACTTCTGGGGTTAAGACCTCTGACGGCAGGAGGCCGGAGTTGAGTTGAGATGATGGATGCACCTCGCCCTATTATCATGATTTATGTCTTGGTGTAATGTTTTATGGCCATTGTATTTGGATACATGACTTGCTGATTATGTTGCTTTATTTGCTGATTATGTTTTATACCCCTCTGATTCTCTTGCAAGACCTTCTTTTCTTTAATTTTTCAACATGATCATTATTAGAAAATCTAACTGACAATTTATGTAATATGGATCTGACTACCACTAGTGCCAATACATCTATTCTGATAATCTAATTCACATGGGCATCAACTTAGATACGAGAAAGGATGGGAAACAACATCCCTAAGTATGGGCACATTCAAAATCATTCATTGGATTTTCAATAACAATCATGGTAATATTATTGATGAATATCTAAGAAGGTGTTTTAAGTTTAAATTCATTAATATAATGTATATGGGCACCAAATATCTAATGTGTAGCATCAAATTCCAACTAAGAAGGCCAGATACTATAATGCATACAAGCTGTGAGGCATGGTTGTTAACATCAGTTAATCTACAAATTCATTAACATATGTCAAAGTTGCTGGCCAAAACTCAAAAGTCTAATGTGAGCCACAAGTCAGAAACACTAGATAACATCTTAAAAGGTTTACCTTGATATGAGCATCTCACTGTCAACATCACTGATGACCGTTGGTTCATAGAAAGAAAATCCAAGGCTGTGTCTTTTACCCCCAAGAATTACTTTTGCCCCCTTCAGATAAAACGGAATTGACTCATCAGAACTATTACCATTTGTTATTCGATATACTTATTTATCTCGCTATATTTTCCAAAGAGCAAAGTGAAGGGAAAAATGTACACTTGAACAAAACAAAATACCTTTTAAATTAAGTTTTTTCTGTTCAAGTATAAATCATAGGTAAATAAGGACGGCAAAAGAAAAAAGGAAAAAAAAATTGTAAAGAACCAATTCAACCCAAAAGCTTAAGCTGTTGGGTGAGATTACATTAATGATTTTATATATCTCAACACACCCCCTTACACGAGAGCCCATTGGGCTTGAAGGGTGGACAATGCACAGGCCCACCTACCTGTGCGAAGAAAGAAATTCCACTAGAAAGAAAGTGGGGGGCGGTGAGGATCGAACCCGGTACACCGAGACTCTGATACCATATAAAGAATCAATTCAACCCAAAAGCTTAAGCTGTTGGGTGAGGTTACATTAATGATTTTATATATCTCAACAAAAATAAAATAACAGATTAGGGACAATCATTAAAAAAGACCTTGATATAAACGGATTTTCTAAAAATTTGGTTTTTGATAAAGCACAATGGCATTGTTTGATCAATGTAGCTACCCCACCTATTGGTATAAGGCTTGGGTGTTCTTCAAGTATTCACCATAGTAGCAAAAGAGCATCAGAAAAATGCCAAAGAGACCTAAAAATTCCCTATGCAGATAACATCCCACTCCGGTCATTATCCTAAGGTTAACTCCGGGGAAAAAGCATTTTATATGGATATGAAAATTGCATTATTAATAAACATTAGTAGTCCCCATGGGGATCTCAGATAGCAAAATACGGTTGATGGTTGACAGAAAAATAATTGGTTTATCCAACTCTCTTATCTTCATTATGCAGAATTCAAGAGTTCGAATAGGATGTCATAGAAATTTGACGGGGGAATGAAGTGGAGAATCAGACTGCAGAAATAGCAAAGCAAAGATGACAAACCTTTGATGTAGCATCATGAACTAAGGACTCAACCTGTAAGGCAAAATCACAAAACAAAATAGAAGTTCGCATGAGTTAGAGGAGATACCCTGCAACAATGCATATAGAAATTGAAATACCAAGAGAAGCACAAACCTTTTTCACTGCAGCATCATTGATCAGAGGGCCCTGTTCAGAGATGGATATAAAATTGAGTTACAGCATGCTCTCAGAAAGCTTAAACAGTAGTGACGTTCAAAATATATTTCTCCAGGAATATTGTAAAGGAATTATCATATATCCAAAAGTACTTTAAAGTGTAATTTAGAGAAGATTACCCATTAAGTGGGAACAACGGCAAGGCAGCGCAGGCAATTTCCATAGACAGTTGATTCGAAAGAAAAACAAAAAAAAATATCAAAAATAAATCAATAACTACCTGAACAACACCTTCACTAAAACCATCCCCAACTTTCATATTCTGAACAGCATCAAGCAAAGCATTTGCAAATTTCTCATATATACCTTCACGGAGAAACTTGGTTAAATAAAGAAGAGCAATGTGTCTTAAACAATGTATCTAAATGCACACGTACATATTGGTGTAAGTTAGAAACAGCTAAATAATCAATAGGAGTACATTAACACTACTAATTGGAACAAAATCTCATTTGAGAATGTCAGTGCAGTTTCCCTTTATTCTTTATATCCTGTTCTCTAATTTTCATTTCTGAAATTTTTATTTTTTAAAACAATAACAAATTCCAAGTCATATTTATGAGATCAAAACTAAATAAGAAACTACTTACTGCAATCACAACCAATAAGCTTTATGATAAGGGTAATATGAGGTTACAAAATGCTATTGAGAATCTGGCAAAGACTTCACATATTGATGATATCAGTAATACATGGCAATTTACATGAACCAGCTAGTATGTGTGACACATTCCCGCGACTTATACTAGTTAGGAGAAGGAACTGAGAGCAAAAAGATCAAAACCGACAAAGAATTAATTATTAAATCTCTTACGAGTATTGATAAATTGGGAATCATACATGTTATAATCAAATGAAGATTTAAGATGTTGCAAATCAGATAAATGCATTATAACTGTAAAAAGTTTACTATCATTTTCATCTAACCTTCTTGCACAAGAATTCTATTTGCACAAACACATGTTTGTCCACTATTGCGAAACTTTGCTGCAATCTGCAATCAGATGAATGAAATGTTACGATTACTAATATCACCAAAACAGAAGGGTGGGCAGATCACAGCATGCCCCCTCTACTTTCAATTTTAGCAATTAACCCAAAATTTGAAGCTACTATTTAGTTTTTATCATTTTATGTGGCTTTGTTGGCTGTTACCACCCCATGCTCAAATTCCCCACTCACAGATCTATCCATTGATTCCTCAGCAAAATAATTCATGCATACAAACCAAAATCTCCAAAATCAGCCATCCCCCATGAACCCATAATCTCCAAAATCAGCCATCCCCCATGAACCCATAATCTCCAAAATTGCTGAAATTAAACTGGAGAGGCTGACACCCAAAGTTGAGGGAGTTCAGTGCATTTGATCAGAGAGAAAGCACGTTATTTTAGTCTTAAGGCATATATTAAAATTTGAAAGATATGTGATCAATTAAGATGATTCAGGGAACAAATATACAAGGGTTACGGTTTCAAAACAAAGAAACATCATATTTGCAAATATGCAAGGATAAGACTGCTGACAACGTTTGCCGTCACCTCTACCCTCATTAGTTGGGGTTTAATGGGGAGTGGTTTCTAGGGAACAAATCTACAAGTTGGAAAAAAAAATCACAAAAGGCTGCCAAAAGATTGTTCAATAAAATAACATCACCTCAGCAGGATAGATAAGAATATGAAGCTAAAGAAATATTCATATACCAAAACTTCAGCAGTTAACAGTTATACAAAGAAAAATCTAACTGAAGGTAAAAAGTGATGTCTAAAAGATCACAGATCGAATTTGACAAGGTAAGGTATGTATTTAAGAATTGGGCCAAGTGACCCACTTATTCTAAGAAATAGGAAAGCAAGGATCACTTGTTCTAGCCTCGTAAAGAATTCAATTCTAACAGAAGCATAAACAAAATCATGCCCTTAAAAGAAATAATGCATGATATATGGTGACTTAAAATACAATTAGCTACTTTGTGCCCCAAAAGTTATCAGCAGCTGAGATTGAATTAAACACTAGCATGCGAGGAACCACTGAACTATAACATCCACTCCTAAAATTGCAACTGCCTAGCCCAGCAAGCCCCAGCCACCAACCTAAAACCAATAGTCATATTGGTGATACGTGCAGTCAAGGTTCCTCCACGAAAGATGGAGTTGTTATGTTGAATTTAGGGCTTTGCTTTTGACCCATGTACACAGGGCCAACCACCAAGCTACATTTTTCCTGTGCAAATTAAGTTCCACATAGCCAAAGAAACCCCATATTTTTTGCTCAATCTAACAGAAATTGTCTAGGGCCAACCCTCAACACCAACACATAGACATAAATTTCCATTTTTGGTAGGTTTGCCACAGACACTTCCATTGTTTTCTAAATCTGCAATCTCTCAGTCCTTGCATATACTTGCAGAGGAAAAAGATTCAAGCAGACATCTCTTTTCCAGAATAATGATTTCCATACTACCCTCACCCTTTATCCAAGAAATTACAACAATGCATTAATCAATTTCAGTTCAAAGGTTTTCATGTAATTATTTTGAGGCCACAAAGTGAGAACACAAAAAATTCCAACTACTGTTAAGTCATATTCAAAAGGTCTCATGCACTGTATATGTTAAGTTGTTACCAGCTCAGACATAACATATCCACACAAATAACAACTTAAACAAAACATCATTACAACCAACATAATCGTAATCCTTTCTAACTTACTGTTCCTTTAATTGCAACATCCAGGTCAGCATCATCAAAAACTATGCAAGGTGCATTGCCACCAAGTTCCAGAGATACCTAGAAGTTCAAAAAACATATACATAAGGACAAAAAATCTATTTGAATATAATGATGTCTAGATCCTGTATTTGAAAAAATTCATGACAACACCAAAGCGTACTTTTTTAACTGTCTCAGCTGAACCTGCCATCAATTTCTTTCCAACAGCTGTCGAGCCTGTGAATGTGATCTTCCGTACCTAAATAATGTTGATAATTTCTTTCTCAAATGTTCAACCATATTCACAAGGTAATTGCTTCATAAAATCACACGGTGACAAAACCTGTGGACTTGCAAGTAAAGCATCCCCAATATCAGGAGCGTTTCCCATAACCACATTGACAACACCCTATGACATTGTATAACACAACCATTAGAACCATAAAACACAGGCAGGAAGGGATCAAAAAACAGGAAGCTTGATTTATGGGGGAAAGAAGGAAAGAAGAAACAGAAAGAGAAAAGGTCTGCAAACATGTAGCAACATAAGAGGTAGGTAAACCAAAGACTTTATCCTTGAATTTGCCGTAAGATTTACACAATCTAGTGGAAGAAACAAATGATGACTAAGGCCATCCAATGGAACCGACTTAGAATTTTTCTTCGGGAAACCTACTTCAGATGTAAAATATGTATGATCCACAAACGTGAAATACATACTGTAAAGAACGTATAAACCATTAAAAAGGCTCTCACCCAACAGCTTAAGCTTTTGGGTTGAATTGGTTCTTTACGTGGTCAGAGACTCGTTGTAATTATTGTCAGCAACTTGGTCATTTTGAGGAGCGTTGGTACACGAAGTATCCTCCCTGCCCCTATTTAATAATTATGTCTTGTGGAGTTTCTTAGCACATGTAGGTGGGTCTGTGTATTATTCACCCTTCAAGCCCAGTGGGCTCTCGTGTGAGGGATGTGTTAGAGAAGTATAAACCATTAATGTAGCCTTACCTAACAGCTTAAGCTTTTGGGTTGAATTGGTTCTTTATATGGTATCAGAGCCTCTGTGTCACGGGTTCGATCTTCACCACCCCCCATTTAATTAATAATTAATTATTTCTTGTAGAATTTCTTAGCACAGATAGGTGGGCCTGTGCATTATCCACCCTTCAAGCCCAGTAGGCTCTTGTGTGAGGGGTCGTGTTAGAGAATAGTATAAACCATTAAAAAGGCCATCACCTAACAACTTAAAGATTTTGAGTTGAATTGGTTCTTTACATAGTATCAGAACCTCAGTATCACGGGTTCAATCCTCACCGTCCCCATTTAATTAATAACTAATTATGTCTTGTGGAGTTTCTTAGCACAGGTAGGTGAGCCTGTGCATTATCTACCCTTCAAGCCCAATGGGCTCTCGTGTGAGGAAGTATGTTAGAGAAATATAAAACCATTAATGTAGTCTCACCTAACAGCTTAAGCTTTTGGGTTGAATTGGTTTTTTACACATACTAAAACAATAAACTACAAAGATTAATGTATTTGAAAAGGGTCAAAAATATTATGGTCGAGTTAAGTATTAAAGTAAGTAATAAGACAAGCAGGGAAACTTCAATAAAAGCACATACTAAATAGAGTTTTGACATAACGACATGGTATATTACATACCAAAATATCATAATGAACTTTCTATAAACATCACAAGGAAGCTCGAGATGTACAATTGTCATGCCTCTGTGGCAATTTTCAATAAATTCAAATACTAAATTACCAAAGCCAATATGCAATGAACTTCCATAACACCCATAAAAGTAGGTACAAGAAACTACCGCTGGTATTCCAGCTTGAATAGAGAGTTCCGCTGCAGCTAGCGCAGTGAGAGGAGTAAGTTCAGATGGCTTTACGACCACTGTACAGCCACATGCAAGGGCAGGGCCAACCTAATTAAAAGAAAACACCACTCTCAAAATGATTGTTATTCACTTACTTCAAAAAACATTTAAAAGTGAAAATGGGTAAAATCTGGACAGTAAATATTTAAAACTGAACATACCTTCCGGGTAATCATAGCGAGGGGAAAATTCCAAGGTGTAATTGCACCTACAACACCTACAGGCTGCAAATCCCAAAAAAGAGGTAAATAAGAGTCATGTATTTAAGTATTATGTTATCAAACACAAATTGAATATTAAAAAATAGTAAAATCTTAATCTAGAACTTTCAATATAAGAGGCAATTGAAAATCATCCTTTCATGCAGCATTCACATAGACTAAGTTATTGGAAGTCAGTACAAATTCCTGAAGACATAAATATAAGACACCAAATAAATTTTGAAGTACCTGTTTTAAAACAAATAAACGCCGATCAGATAGAGGTGCAGGAATTATATCCCCATATATACGTTTTGCCTCCTCAGATGCAAACTCAATAAAGCCAGCCCCATAGTTTACCTGCAAAACAGTCACTTTCAAAACATGTTGCAAAAATAACGAAATTCACCTTGGGAAAATACATAATTAGGAAAAGAAACAATAATTGGCAGAGTATACTATAACAAAATTTCATCCATTGTGTACCTCACCCATAGACTCTTTAAGAGGCTTTCCTTGCTCCAAGGTCATAAGCTGTGCTAGCTCTTCTTTATGTGCCATTAGCAAATCATACCTTAAAGCAATTGAGGAGAAAATTAACAGAATGTAACTACTATCAGGAAAAAATCACTATTCAAGGAACTTTTGTCATGATAAGGTCAATATGTCAAGGACGTATACAAATGCAGACTACATCAAAGTCAAGAACTACTCTAATTTGAACCAATGCAGTGCATTGCAACAACCAGATCTGCAGGCAGAATATATTCATAGTTTGCCAGCGAAATTTATCAACACAGATGTTGTAAAATATCCTCTAGGATATTCTAAACTATTTTAAGATATAATCTTAATATTATACGATATCTTCTAGATATTCTAACACATTTAATACAGTACTAGAAAATTGCAGATTAAAAATTCATCATGGACAGTTAAAGACAAATAATCACCAATGCAAAATGCAAGTATGATTGCATAACAATGCACTAATGGAGCAACTCATGAAGATAAGAAACAAATTATTTAGCAGGGCGAAGACAATTAAATAATAAATATATATTAATTTCTGCATTACTACACTGGCTACTGATGTCAAACAAGATTAAGAGCAATCAAAAAGTTAAATGATATATAATCATAAACGCATTCATTAACAATGATGGTACGAATTGGGGACAAACAAAAAGCATAATTATTCTAAAACATTACTAAGATTTAAAAAATTTAATAAAAATAAAAAAAATTAAAAACATTTATTTCTTCTTAACATATTAAACTCAGAATACCAACCCTAAATGACCCCAAAGCCTAAAACAAATACAAGTCAGCAGATAAGTCCAATATTTCCATCAAAGTAGGTGGTTCATGAAATCAGCAGAGAACAATACCATTTCCTCAGAAATTTGCTCCTCTCAGCAGCAGTGAATTTGCTCCATGCTACATAAAGAGGAGGAAATCTTAGTTATTGAAATATTGTGAATAATCCAATAATACCAATAACATAATTTTTTAGTTAATTCATTATTTGCATTATCAAGTAACAAGGATTCATACAAACATAAATCAAGGACCAATACAACATCAATACAGCAAAGGGAAATTGGGAGTGGAAGGGTTATGATTAATATGATAGAACCAAATCAGCTAGGGTTATAATCACCATTGACTATAACATTGAAATATATAAATCGCTCACTTGATGCTAGTCACTCTAAAAAATAATTATTCAAATATATAGGGGTTTCATTTCTGCAAATATTAACTAAAACTCTGTCCACATTCCCTTGCAAAGTTGTTCTTCTTTTAAAGCATAGTGCATCTAACATCTACCCTCAGTTTCAATTGGAACCCACCCCATTTTGGTTTAACGAAACTTAAGATTTCGACCTGCAGCAAGAGATGTTACTCTTTATAGGTCTGCAAGCTCATAAGAGAAAACAAAAGAATGACCATGCACCTTAGGTAATCCAATTTTTACACCGAAGTTGTTATTGTCATTCAAAATAACAATCTCAGGCACATATATCTTGTGCAAATTTGACCCAGATGTAATAAAAGAAACATCAGTACCTAAGCTATTTGATAACTACACACTTAAGTATCTTACATAAAGACATCTATACTCAGTCATTTATGATAGTATATCTTAATCCTCTCCAATATTTCTGTTTCTAGTCTGAAATAAAGGATATAGCATCAAACTGTGAAGTTTCATACATTTAAATGCATCATAGGCTGAGGAAATTGCATCGTTGGTCTCTCTTCCACCCATGCATGCAACATCTGCCACAGATTCACCAGTTGCTGGATTATAAACCTGTAACAGCATTGAATATATAAGATTCTAACACTAGCGCTTTCAAAACAATAGAACTTATAGTGATAAAACAGGGAGAAATACAAACTGCAGCTACAGACTGTGACCATCTGTAGTATCAATTGACAACGAAGCAGCAAGAACATGCTGGCCCCTCTTCCTTTATACTTTGGCAAAAAGATTGCAAGAAGAAAAGGGGAGAGAGAGAGAGAGAGAGAGAGAGAGAGAAATAACAGCAGGTATGCCATACCTTTATGGTTTTCCCATCATAAGCATCTCTCCATTTTCCTCCAATAAGGCCCTGAGTCTTCAACAGTCCAGAACTACTAAGCTGGGAGGCAACACTCCGTGCATCCATGCTTATCTGCCATTCAAACAAACCCCTAATAAATGACAAGAATATTGCAACAAATTATAAGAATAAACACTGCTTTTGGTCCTTCAAAGATACAATACAAGTGTCATCAATTTGGTCCTCTAATGATAAATACATCAAAATGATCATTTCAATGTCAATTTTTGACATAAAATTGGTTTACTCTAAGAATAATAATCAGAAAAATCAGCATAGTCCATTTCGAAGTTTTTCATCCTTCAGACAAATGGGTTTACATTTTTAACCAGGAATCCGCTGGAGTACAACATTGATTGAGAAAAGATAAAATACAAGTGACATCAATATGGTCCTCTACTCTAATCAGCGGCGGACCCACGACTGGGCACATGTCCGCACTTGCGGACATGAAAACTTTGATTTTTTTTTTTTTTTCTTCTTCTTTGTTGGAGGTCCTTATTTATTTTTTTGGTTCGATATTTATATTAGTCATTGTTAATTTTGCAATGCAGATGTTAAATACCTTTTTTGTGTTGAGATTAAATGTCAATAATTCTTATGGCAGATTACTATTTTTCATGTAGTAACTGAAGAGATAGGATGACTTGATTTTTTGAATTTGCACAGTTCAATCACTCAACTCAATAATAATTGGACATAGCTTCACTAGTAACCTTTAATTTATGGGAAAAGTGTTTGTTCTTTTGAATGACATAACTTGTGCCATTTCACTCTCATAAAAAGGTGAAACCCACACCTTTATTTTTTTTTATCCACTCTCTCCCCCACGATCTATCTCTTTCTCTCACTTAAAATGACACAATTTTGCATCCTTTAAAATGACACATTTTTCTCTTAATTTATACATCATCTTTTACTAGTTTATGTTTTTATCAGTCTAGAATTGTTATTCACCTTATATGTTTTTCCTACATTAATAAGTCAACTCTTCCATATAAAAGTTATATCAACAAAATTTTCGGGGGCGCTGCCCCGAACCCCGCCACTAAATGTGCGCACATGAATTCTTTTTTCTGGGTCCGCCAGTGATTCTAATAATAAATACATCAAAATGATCATTTCAATATCAATTTTGACATCAAAATGGTTTACTCTCATAATAATAATCTGAAATATCAGCATAGTCCAGTTCAAGTTTTTCATCCTTAAGACAAAGGGGTTTACATTTTTTTAATCAGGAACCCATAAACAACATTGAGAAAAGAAGCAAGTGTACATGTACAATATTAAACAGGAAGCAGTTAAAAACACATAAACAAAACAAAAAATTCATGTGGGTCGGTGAGAATAGGCGAAAAGATTGTGACTTTGCAATCAATTTCAAATCTCTGCAACCATAATAAAGCACCCCATTTGAGACACACACAGAGGCAAATGGGTATGTCAGAATACTCTGCATGCATATAATGAAAAGTGAAAACAATAAAAAGGGGCTTGCCTTTCGAGTGAGGGGAGGAATCGAGTGCTGCATCTGCATCTGCAACTTATTGGAGAGGATATGGGAAGGGCGAGAGAGAAGCTTCAAGGATCGCAGTGCCATAGTGCCAAGGTTCATTGCTGCCAACGATGTCGCCATTGGTTTGATCTCAACAAGTGAAGTGTTTCAAGAGCACTTGACTTGCTTAATGAGATATATATAGTATACTAGTATAGTTTCACACTGTAATCAATAAAATGATGATATATGGATCAATGACAAACATCAATTTATATGAGTAAGTTTATATTTTAATATTATTTGGTATGATCTGTAATCATTCCTAAAATTTGATTGAATTATAAAATAAAATTTTGCAACATATTTATCACTTTGTTTGTTTGTTTGTTTATATATTTATTTATTTTATCACATGCAGGGTCTAAATGTGAGGGGCTTAGACGTATGAATTGGCAACAAACAAATAATAAAATGAAGGAATTTGGATCTCATACGATCCCTACTTTAGTCCCTTACAAAAATAAATTAGTCAGTTAGTCCCTAACAAATTCAAAGTGAACCCATTTTAGTCTTTTTGTGGGACTAATATGGGTCTTTTTTGAATTTGTGAGAGACCACGATTTCAACTAAATGGGTCAACTTTAAATTTGTTAGGGACTAATTGACTAATTTATTTTTGTAAGGGACTAAAATGGGGACCGTATTTTTTGTTAGGGAACAAAAAGAATATTTACTCTACTATTTAAACAAAGATACTAGTGCCAAAAAAAAAATGCTAGTAACAAATCATAAACATACTTTATGATAAAATCTTCATCATAAAAATATGTATTTCTTATAAAAATTAATTATTTTATCATAAAGATGTTAGAAACTACAGATATCATGTTTCTATATAAATATACTTTCTAATAAAATAAGCACAATTTAAATGTGATAGTTATATTAAATGACATTTGGTTCTTTTAGCTTATATTTGGATCAATGAAAACGAAAGAAATGGAATAGAATATAATGCAGGCACCAAATTAGTTCTATTAACGCCAGTTCTATTAAAATTAATTAATCAATCACGTAAAGACTAAGTACAAACTTGGATGCAATGGCAATTTGCCCTAAAATACCTTTCAGAATATTTACTAATAGATATAAATATTAAAAACTTGTACTTATTTACAATTCAAAATACTATAGGATAATAATTTATCCGTCTTTGTTTAGTGCGGCATCAAGAAATCATTTTAATAATACTATTCAGACAAACATTCTCTTAAAATATTTGTAGATGAACCTTCTTAATAACTATCTTTTTAGAACTAATTCTTCCACTTAAGTTACAAAACAAATCGCAGATAAACCATTTGGTGAGACCTAAAATGAAATAAGCTCACACGCATTATGTAATAAATAATAATAGTAATGCCAACTTATTCTTATTTCATATGAACGAGCTTTAACAAAGTTTTTTTTTTTTTTTTTTTTGCTACTCAACATTCATAATTTCAGACTCCTCCCAGTTGATCACAAATTCAATGCAGTATCAAATATGAACGTGGATCTTGAAATTCTAACCGAGAAGAAATGAACTTCACTAGCACATCTCTTGAACACAAATAGAGAACCCGGATTTCAACAAAAACTACTTGTTGACTTTATTCACAAGCCCAACTAAATTCACATTTTTTATTGATAAATGAATAAACACTGAAGATTTAGTCCTCCAAAAACATTGAATTTCAACCAACAGACTGATAAATCTGATGATACGCAAGAACTGCTAACAACTCATTGATAAATGATGTAGCCTAAAGTGGTAATGTAGGCAAGCTATCAAACTGGATTTTACATTCCTACAAACGGGAAACAGAAAACATATAGCGCTGTACCATAATTGCATTCCCACACTGATATAAGGCAAACTAAACTTTTGAGGGCCATGTTGCTTGAGCTGACATAATAATACCAACAATAACTCCAAATAGCCCAAGTGCACTACCAAAGATCTCAATCACAAGAATTTTCACAAAGAGAGAGGAGTTCTGAGCATCAGACAATGCACAGCTGCTTCCAATTATTCCTACACACAACCTGCAAGAAAAAAAAAAAAAAAAAATTGGATATGTAATAGCAGGAAAAGGTCTCCCTCCATTCGACAGGAGAATTTCCTGCAACGGGGAGGCAGGTAAAAAAAATACACACCCACAAACAAGATTTGCGAAGCCCACGATAATTCCAGAAGCAAAGATAGCATATCCAGCTCTAAGAGACTCTGGTGCATAGATACTTGATGGTGGAACACTTTCTAATTTTGTTTGTAGAATAATAGCCACAATTACACCATATATAGCAACAGCTTCACAGAAGATTACACTGAAATACCACAAACATTAAGAACCATATTGTCAAGTGGCACAAATGTTTATATTTGGAATTGAAACTATATCAGCAGCACCAGGATACTTTATGTAGATAATACATATAAAAGGAACATTAAAATTCATAGCACACAAATAGAACAACCTTAAGATCAGACATTCAGGAAGACAAATCAGAAATTCACATTAAATACAGGGATTGACAACCTTAAATTACTATTTAACTTCATTGATTCGAAAAAATGAACCTTTGTTGTACGATCAATTGATCATTGTATTTAAAGCCAAATGAAGAGGGGTAAAAAAAAAAAAAAAAAAAAAACACCTATACACTCTCTATCTTTCCCCCTCTCACATACAAAGGAGTCGATGATTGTTACATGCCATAAATATCATTCAGCTTCTACTTTTTTCAACAAAGCATTAAGCTATTTAATCTCCTCAAGACTCGTACATAGAGTGTATGCAATTTTAGAGAACAATCATTCCGTACTTTCTTGTGTTTGGTGTGGAAAATGTTCTCCAGAAAACATCTTCCGTTTGCTGCAGAAAAGCATTTTTTAGAAAACATTTTCCTTAACAGTCAAAGGAGAATAATCTCCTAGTTAATTGCTATAATTTACAAGACATCCCCCCCTTTGAACAAAGCATCAAAAGTAAAACCTACAATCAAACCTTCTATGGTTAACCACTGGGTCAAATTAGCTACAAGGATCAAATGACGATGTTGAGAGGAATCACGCAAGTAAATAAGAACTGGTATATTCTGCTATAATATGATATCAAAGTGATATCAGATTGTATATGATGAATTACAGAGACAGAAAATGAAAAAAAAATGAAAGTACAAATAACCTAGTGCATTCGAGAGGTTCTAGTCTCTCCCAAACTTCTCTCTACAATTCTTTTGATACCTCCTCACACACCTCCTTCTCCTCTAGTGGCCCCACTCACCCTCAAAGCTGTTGTAACCGCTTTTCCCGCCAAATTCCCACTCACGCAGCCTGAACTCACAATGGGCGTGATCCCCTGTTCCACCTCCTATGGTACACGTGCACTTTAGGTGGCTTCCTAACAGAAGTCATTGGGCTTTATCAAAAACCTTTAAACAAACCAAACAAGAAAATAAAATTTTAGGAAAATGCATCATTTTCTGTAAAAATGTTATGGATGAAAATATTTTCTGAGTCTAACCTGAAAATGTTTTTCAGGAAGCCAAATTCTACAGATAACATATTTTAATATCAATTTATTTTACTTAAAAAAACAAATGGACCAAAGTAATTGTTAGTAGGCAAACTAAGTTTGATATAGGGTTCCATAAGTCATGTAAACCTTTTCAAACATTTTTTCAATGATATAGAAAAGCCTTGAGAGACACTGTAACATCTCAGGTGCAAACGAGGGCAAAGAGTGATCGCCGATGTAAATAAGATACGGACAAAGAGCAGCTCCTAGCAGGCTTCTAGTAGGAGGGATACATGAATGAATCAAATCAACACCCGAACGAGAGGGATCCAGAGACTGTGCAGGTATGGACTGTACAGATGAGAATAGCTTAAAGGAATTAATATGTACTACCCATACTAACAAAATGCATCTACTTTTCGATGGCCTATAACTTAAGAACTTCATAGTCTTGACTTGGAGCAACTTTGAGATGGATGACATCATGGGAAGTTTCTCAGGAAGTGTGTGAGTGAGGACAAAACATGCTGAAAAGTCTTGTGTTGGTTTGTGAGGACAATCATTGATCCTACAAGTGGCCGAACATTACAAACACCTCAGTAGTGGCCTGGGCATTTCTGTAATAAGTAGCCTATAAATGCCTCTGGTACACCCACATTGAGATTGAATCACATTAAACCCAAGAGCCAGTGAGGTAGTGTGAACGTAAATTGATATGGAAGATACCAGGAATACAATTACAAGCCACTCAGTAGTAAGTCTTTTCATACTATTACTGAAGCTTGTACCAAAGTTGGGTAGTTAAACTTCATTCCACATTGACTTCGAAAAGGGATCTATACTAAATACCCACCCAGCATAATGTGCATATGTGCATTCTAAGCTGAAGTCAATAAAAACAAAAAAATAATAATAAAATTCAAAACATTTCCCTTAATTTGGTTTCAAACCATCAGTATTAATCCTTCAACTTTTATATCTGACACAAAAAGGGAGGAGGGGGTTTGGAGAATGAAACTTGCTGAAAGAAACTTTCTACTCTCTTTCCTTTTCTTCTTTTTTTTTTTTTTCAAATATTACATACATATGTAATAATAGAGCGGGCCTCATGCCTAAAAGTGGACAATGATATACCCATCAGATTATATGATAAATTTATTATCCACGAGAAAGAAAGATTATCATTGATTATTAGAAATAAACTAATGCCCAATACATAGTAAAATCACTTCGTGTATGCCTAAAATTTATTCTCTTCAAAAGGAACACTTCTAGCAACTCACGTGTACATGATTTTTGGGAAGCGCATAATTGAATGATCCTGGGAACTTCCCTTTGGCATCATCTTCGTGATCCACACTCGCCCAACATGAAGCAGCTCACGAGGAAGATCAACATTCATTAACATACTACAAATTATCAAATCAACATTTACACACCAGGGTGTCCAGCGAGACTCACACTATCAGGTTTTATTTTCAACATCATTATATATGTCTCTTTCCAACAGCATCATTATCAATTTCGTATGACCATAAATTTCATATGAGTTGCGGTAATTCTTTTACGAAGGCCGGGAGGGTTCTCATGCCCAGTAATATTTACGAAGGCCGGGACGGTTCTCACGCCCGGTAAGTATTTACGAAGACCGGGACGGTTCTCATGCCCGGTAATATTTACGAAGGTCGGGATGGTTCTCACGCCCGGTAATTCTTTTACGAAGGCCGAGAGGGTTCTCACACCCGGTAATGTTTACGAAGGCCGGGACATTTTTCACGCCCAGTAATTATTTACGAAGGCCGGGACGATTCTCACGCCCGGGAATTATTTACGAAGGTCGAGATGGTTCTCACGCCCGGTAATTCTTTTACGAAGGCCGGGATGGTTCTCACGCCCGGTAATGTTTACGAAAGCCGGGACGGTTCTCACGCCCGGTAATTATTTACGAAGGTCGGGACAGCTCTCACTCCCGGTAATTAATTACGTAGGGCGAGACGACTCATATTCCCGGTAATTAGTTACAAAGTCCGGGATGTGCTACCCCTCGGCAAACAAAGTCCGGGATGCGCTACCCCTCGGCAAACAAAGTCCGGGATGTGCCGCCCCTCGGCAAACATAGTCCGGGATGTGCCGCCCCTCGGCAAAAGTCATAAATAGATGACGCCTAGCCAACGTCCCATCTAGGCACGTTTTTATTGTCACTTAAATGCTATTATTTTAGCTATTGCAGGTCATGATCGTAGAGCGACGTATAAATCGGAGCAACCAAACATCAAAGACCCAAGTCACTGAGCATATTTTATCACACACTCATATCACCAGCTAGTTTTATTTCTGAAGAAGGGAGCATACATATCTATCATCTATGAAAACTACCAGCATCTTTCTCTCTTGGAACGCATTATTCTCTCCAGAAGCTTTTATCTACAACATTATTTGTCACCAGCAAGTTTATTTTTGAAGAAGGGAGCATATATATTTATCATACATTCAGCGAGTATTATTATTATCATACGGACAAGACATCTTTATTCCAGCTGTTAAAATCTCCAGGCTGCTTGGTTCCACATGGGCGTTATTTATCATGCATTAATATCACCAACGAGTTTTATTGCTGAAGAAGGAATTTCTGAAGACGGGAGTATATATATTTATCGTGAGAATCTCCATCACTCTCTATTTTGGAACACATCATCCTCTCCGGAAGATCTCATCTACTACTTTAATTATCTCACGAAGCTCGGATCTGCAATCCTGTCGACGTTATTTTATTATTATCATACGGTCAAGACATTCTTGTTCCAGTTGCCAACATCTACAGGGTACTTGATTCAACATGGGCTCGCCGGCTTATTCTTACAATTAAATTATTACTACTTCAACAACATTTCAAGACCTTCCTCAACAACAAGACGCATCTTCGAAGACAACAAAGTTCAGCACAATTGCAAGCCATAAATAGAAGATTCTCTTGAAGTACTCAAGCATCGCCAATCAGACAACTCATACTCGACGACAACAAATAAACAACTCATGAAGGCCGACGTATTACTGATCGGTTACATTATATCCTGCTTAAAACACTACACACTACGGGTATCCAGCCTATGCTGCTATATATCTTGGCACCTTGACTCCTTCAAGCTACCAAGCTAGGGGGCTCCTGTTCTGGATACAACTTACATTAGGCCCACCAGATGGGCCCAACCTCTCAAAGCCCACATGCTAGAACATTCTAGAGGGCACCCATGGCAAGCAATAGAGGCACTCCACTGGGACATCTCCCTCTTCCTGCACTGCTGCCCCTGTACACTGACAGGGGACAGCTTGATGAGACAGTTCATGGGCTGACCAACTCAAGCCCCCCTGCAAGAGAGGACTCTCCTCTCTAAATACCCCTCTCACACTTGGAGAGAGGGGCTTCTTCTTCCCTACTCCTCTCATATGTTGTCACTCACACACACTCCCCCTTTGAGCACATACATGGGAAGCTCCACTAGTGCCTTGGTCTCTACCATTGCTACAATGGATACCCCTATATCAATATACTTCACCCTCACGGGACACATCTATATACCACTTTGAGTAAAAACTTCATTCCACATTGACTTCAAAAAGGGATCTATACTAAATACCCACCCAGCATAATGTGCATATGTGCATTCTAAGCTGAAGTCAATAAAAACAAAAAAATAATAATAAAATTCAAAACATTTCCCTTAATTTGGTTGCAAACCATCAGTATTAATCCTTCAACTTTTATATCTGACACAAAAAGGGAGGAGGGGGTTTCAATGGAGAATGAAACTTGCTGAAAGAAACTTTCTACTCTCTTTCCTTTTCTTCTTCTTCTTTTTTTTTTTTCAAATATTACATACATATGTAATAATAGAGTAGGCCTCATGCCTAAAAGTGGACAATGATATACCCATCAGATTATATGATAAATTTATTATCGACGAGAAAGAAAGATTATCATTGATTATTAGAAATAAACTAATGCCCAATACATAGTAAAATCACTTCGCACTAAGCTAAAATCATAGGTAACATAATTTTTCTATTAACAAATCCTGAATCCCCAAAACAAATGAACACCAAGCCACCGGCAAAGTAATATATTCGCATATAGATCCAGTAAAAGTCATTCACAAAAAAGCAGTTCTAGATTTATTCCTCAATTTTAAAGATCTTATCATAACCTTTCTCACACTAAGAAGACATGTCCAAATTCTACTCCTCAATCCAAGCAAAATTAAACAATGCGTGTTCCCTATCTAAAATCCAAAAATAAATAGTCCAGTGGAAAATTAAAAAATAAAATTAAAAAAAGGTGGAGAGCGTGTAAAAGCATGAAAATTGAGTTGCGGTGAGTTTGATTAGTAATTTTACCTAATGAGATTCTTGGAAGTAATTCGGGGAGCTTTGATTGCAGCACCGATCAAGCTACTACCGGTTATGTAAATCCCCCTTCATGTGTTAATTGAAGCGAATTCGAATATGAGAAGAATGGAAATAGAAACGGAAACGGAAACGGAAGATAGGAAATGAAAGGCGTACCAGGCAGCACCGAGGACGGAGACGCCGATAGCGACGGCGATGCCGATGGCGGAGAAGGTATAAGGGGAGATCTTGACGAGTGCCAAAGCCCAAGAGCTGGAATGCGCCACTACAGAGCTAGACATGATATTTGTGTTGCGAACGAAACGATTGTGATCGGAACTCAGAGCCACAGAGAGAAACAAACAGCACAAAACGCCGTGCCCCTTGCTACTATCAAATCAAATGATGATCTTTAGGCTATTAAGGAGCGTTTGGAAGAGAGAAATTCTTTTTTTTTTTTATGGGAATAACGATTCCTGTAATATTTTGAGAAAGTTAGGAAATAGCTTAAAATATTCTCATAAATATTTGTTTAAGTTTTTTAATTTTATATTTGGTTAATCGACAATTATTTTTGGGAATATAGATTAATTTTATAAAACTAACCCTGAAAAAAATTGATATGCCACAAAATGATTGAAATGCGTTGTTTGAGATCAACCCCAAACTTTCCAAACAAATTTGACAGTTCTGAAACCAATTTTGTTCACAAATCAGAGCAATCCCAAATCATCTTCAGAACCACGCTATTACCATTTGGTGCAACCACGAAATTGTCTTCAGCAAAAATCGCCGTTGTCGATTCAATAATGTTGGGACCGAAGTTGGGTCATCGAAGCGGAGCAGCATGGAGTATCACGGTTAGGGCTTTAACAAGAGAGGTATTATAGTCATGAAAATATTAAAACACGATTATTTATGTTCCATAAATTATATAATATTTTTCCACCCGGTGGGAATCCAAAAATGCTTACTTGCAATTAGGGGTGTTCGCGGTCTGAATTGGATCGGTTTTGGAAGCAAAACTCATCCGATCCAATCCCTTCGGTTTGATCATGTAATCATCCATTCGGTTTAGATTTTTTTTCAAATCCGATCCGATCCAATTCAATTTTTTTCGGTTTGGATTGAATCGATTTTCGATTTTTTGAATATCCTAAAATTAGTTTCATGATTATTGTGCAAATAATATCTTTTGTATATATTGGCTTTGTAATTTTATTTTTTTGAAATACAAAACTATCAGTAAACAATACTATAGTTGATGAGACGTGACTAAGTTTTTTCTTAGGTTTGGGCTATGATTGAAAAAATGACAAGTAGGTAGAGGATAATTAATATATTGGATCGGTTTGGATTGAATCGGTTTTCATCAACCCATCCGAAAACCGATCCAATCCAATTAAAATTTGCGGTTTTTTTCGGTTTCCGATTTTTCGGTTTTCGGTTATCGGTTTTTCGGTTCGGTTTTCGCAGTTTGAATTGGTTTGGATCGGTTGATGAACACCCCTACTTGCAATACTATTTCATAGAATTCATATTCATAATTTTAAATCCCAGAAATCTCATTTTTTTCATGAAAATTTTAAGAATCCATGTACCAAACATAAGTAATTAAGATTGCCAAAAACATAGGTAATTAAGATTCTCAATATGAATTTCTTAAGAATCTAAAATGTATCCCCCTACCAAACGGACCTTTATAGTAACATCATAAATATGTTGTGTTGGGTTAGATTTTGGTTTAAATATAGTAATTTTATTTAAGATATTTTAATTTTGGCCTGATGTATTAATTTGATATTAGTTAAATTATGATTTCTTCTTGCATATATTTAAAAATTAAAATATATTCATTAACATCATATATTTTAGAGTAAATACCATTTTTGGTCTTCAGCAAATTTTACGACGCCCGCTTTAGTCCCTAGCAAATAAAAAGGCTCATCGCGGTCCCCAAGAAATTCAAAATGGACCTATTTTGGTCCTTTTAGAGACTAATATGGGTTTTTTTGAATTTGAGAGGGACCACGATTTCAACTAAATGGGTTCATTTTGAATTTCTTAGGGACCACAATGGGCCTTTTTATTTGCTAGAGACTAAAACGGTCTTCCTGAAATTTGCTAAGGAGCAAAAAAGGTATTTACTCTATATTTTAATATCATTTTAGGGTTTAGAATAAAAAATATATATATTTTAAGAATTTTACTTTCCTATTATATCATGTATTTTACTAAAATACTCTTTAATTTTTATTTTAAACCCCAAAATAACATGATTTTAAGGTTAGGAGATATTCATCTCTTTATTTAAATTTATTAAGTTTTCAAAATTAAAAAGAATTAAATTAATATTATTTTATTATATAAAATTATTTAAATAAATTATTTTACTTTTTTGTGTAATAATAATATTAAAATTATTTTTATTTTACTTTATTTATTGGTTAGTTTTGTAAAATTAAACCTATAACCTATTTTTTATAAAAAATATATATATATAATCTGAATTTATTCTATCTTATCAAATATATTGCGTTAGATTTGACTTGATATAGGTTGGGCAGTAATAGTTAATATGGTATTTAAAATCCCAATTTAAATTTGCGCTTTTATGATTTTTTTTAATCAAAAAGATTTCATCAAAATTCCAAATGCTTTTACGTTTTTATAATTTTTTTTCGTTAGGATTTTAAGTTTTATGATTTTTTTATCCTCCTTCCGATTTTAGATAAAATTCCAATTTTAACTACCATGGTAGCTAATAAATCGTCTCGTTCACTTACACCTTACTTACGGCTCCACGTTGTGGAGTGGCATTCTCTTAGGGGACGTTTGGTAGAGGAGAAAAAAAAATTACCAGAAAAATACAATTACTAGGCATATGGTGGGAAAATGATTTTGGTAATAGTTGTTTGATAAGTAAAAATATCACCAGGAAAATTGAGTTAAATTCTCTGAGCCTATGTTTGGTTGAAGGTAAAATATTGATGGAAAAATGGGTTGAAATGACAGAAATAACCCTTGTAAAATATTTGAATATGAAGAAATGAAAGATTAACCCTTGCCAAACATAATCGTCTGTGGGTCTTTCATTTGGAACAGCAATGTTTGAACAAGAGTAATTTTATTTGCACACCAATCAGTCACAGCTATGCTATCATGAGCACAAGACAAGTGAGATTGTAGGTTGGCAAAACCAAAAGGTAGTCTCTGTCTTAAACTTCATTTCTCCTCGTAATATAGGGTTTCTAGGTTGTTTCGTCCTTCTACCTCATTGTTATCTTCATAGCTCTGTTTCAATCGAGACACAAGAACAGTAGACCCATTGGAGGATATTTTGTGCTTCCTGCTGAAAACGTCTGATGTTGGAGACGTACGACTTCTGAGGAAAGAGAGTTGAAAGACACTTTCAATAGTAGACCAGGGACAATTTGATTAGCAAATTGGCGTTCAATTTTTTCTTTCCCCAGCAAACCCAAAATACCACCCACAATATGGTTTTCTGGAACAGTGCTTCCACAGAAATTTTGCAAACAAAACGCTTTGGCTGGGCAAAGGATTCTCCTACCTAAATTTTGTTAACTCTCCTACCAAACGCAGTCAAGTTCAAAATCCATTTCTCCTTGCCTGAGTATCCTTACCAAAAACCCATACCAAACACCCCCTTAATCCGTTCAAAACAGCATGTCGTTTTGTCTCAATGGAATAGTGGTATTATTAACACAAAGGTACAAAAGTGAGCTCAACAGTACCATTAATTGATGATTTGAAGTACTCTTCTAGAAGGCTCCAATTGGACAACCAATAACAGAAACTTAGACTCTGTTTGATTACTGTTTTTAAAAACAATTTTTTAGTTTTCAGATAAAAAAACAAAAAAACTCGTTTTGTAAGGCTTGTTCTGTAAAACAAGTTTTAAAAACTGTAACTGTTATGGACCCGTATAATGGGCCCATTAAGTAGCAAGTCCAACAAGGGGCAATCCAAGATATGGATTGATGCTAATCAATCATACTAATCTTAATGTGACAGCATAGCTATCAGGGCCGGACCCTCATGGTAGGGACTAAAGGCCCATCCACACTACCTACAGGTAACCTCTATAAATACAAGGGCAAACCCTAAAGGTACACACATTCTCTCTCTTATTGTTATGTTGTCACTGTGCACACACACCCCATTGGCTAACGCCGTTATAATATTCTGTGCACAGTGATCTCCTTGACTCAATGGTATCTCCCTCGTAGATACCTTGGAGAGAGCATCAGATCCAATATTAACGTACTAGCCTAGCTGGGCTAGACATCTCTGTCTCAAGGACAGAACATTGGCGTCGTCTGTGGGGAATTATTTTCTTTGAATTTGAATATGAAGTTCCCACCAAATCTGATAAGGGATGGCAATCCAGACGAGGAGCAGTAGCCAGCAGCCACCCCCAAACCAGAATCAGTCGTTGGATCCAGTCATTGAGGAGATAAATCAGCCTCACAATCAGATCGGAAACAACGTGGATTACGACCACGTCCAGGTCGAAGACGATGTTTCAGACACCGCTTCGACGCTGGTACGTCGAAATGGGGGAGCTGCAGCGAACGTAGCTCCGATAAGGAGCAACCCTGCCCAACATCCTGGCGATCTGGTTGCGCGCATCGCTCAATCGGCCGATCCGGATACTCGGTTGGCCAACAACGCGTTAAACGCAATTATGGAACGAATAGCAGCGCTGGAAACCCGTACTAACTTGCAACGGCAACAGGATTTCAGGGCTATTCGAGAGGAAAATACCAGAGGGATGCAAGACCTGGAGCGGCGATTAACAAGGCGAACTACGCTAAGAATAGCCAATTTTGAAGGCCGAGAAGGACCTAGGAACTCGGTTCAATCGTACCAAGTTCCTCATGCAGAAAACCCTGGTAACCTAGTAAACCAGGGATACTAGGTCGCTGATGGCCAAGATGCAAAAAACCATCAAGCACATGCTGACGGTCAGGAGGACCGGGTTAGAGCTCAGTATCAACAGGATCCTCAAAACATCTGAGGGCGAGTAGAACTTGGCGGATATAGGAGGAAGTACAGCAGGGGGCAGTATAATAACAGCCCATTCATTACTGAAATATTAAACGTTGTCTTCCCAGAGGACTTTGACTCGGCACGTTTACCGAAATATGATGGGAGCCAAGATCCGCAGGTGCACATAGATGCCTTTGACACGGACATGTATATTCGAGGAATTGATGAACCTCTTATATCCCGAATATTTGCTGTAACATTAACTGGGGCAGCACAGGCATGGTTTTCAACCCTGCCTGCTAATTCCATCGGATCCTTTGAGGAGTTCGGACAGAAGTTCCTATTGAACTTTGCAACCAGCAAGAAGCATCCAAAGTCCGAGTTCGCTCTTGGAAAGGTACGACAGCAACCTGGAGAAACCCTCCAAAAATACCTTAACCGGTTCAAGGACGCTGCATTGCAGGTCCCAGGGTTGCAAGAGAATGTCCACGTCCACCTCATTGTCGCAGGTCTGGATGGTGGATCCAGACTCGCCAAGTCGGTCTATAAAGACCCAGTAAAGACACTGGAGGAGTTTAGAACTCGTTCGAAGAAATATCTTGAACTAGAGCAAATGGAGATTGCAAACGCGCAATCTGACGAAGGCAACAGAGCAAGCCCGAGAATGAGGAGCCCACCCCCGAAGGGAAAGGAACGAGTTGACAGCAAGAAGAAAGATCAACGCCAACGAATCCCGGACATGAGAGACCACATTGGAAGGTATGATAAGTATACACCT